TATATATATATATATATATATATATATATATATATATACATATATATATATATATATATATATATATATATATATATATATATATATATATATATATATATATATATATATATATATATATATATATATATATATTAGTTGTAGTAGTAGTAGTACTGTTATTATTATTGTTATTGTTATTATTAATATTATTATTATTATTATTATTATTATTATTATTATTATTATTATTATTATATTATCATTATTATTATTATTTTTATTATCATTATTATTATTACTATTATTAATATTATTAATATTATTATTATTATTATTATTATTATTATTATTATTATTATTATTATTATTATTATTATTATTATTATCATAATCATCATCATCATCATCATCATTATTATCAATATTATTATTATTATTATTATTATTATTATTGCTATTACTATTATTATTACTATTATTATTATTATTATTATTGTTGTTGTTGTTGTTTTGATAATAATGATAATAATGATGCTAAAAATAAGAGAAATAATAGTAATAATAATAATAATAATAATTATTATTATTATTAGTATCATTATAGTAGTGTTATTATTATTATTATTACTATTATTATTATTATTATTATTGTTATTATTATTATTATTATTATTATTATTATTATTATCATTATCATTATTATCATTATTGTTATTACTATCATTATTATTACTATTACTATTATTATTATCATTATCATTATTATTATGGAATATTTGGAATGTGAGGAATGTTAACTAATCTTCTACTAGTACTAATGTCTAAATCATTATTGTTGCTGCTGCTACTACTACTACTACTACTACTACTACTACTACTACTATTACTACGAATGAAAACGCTCATGTTTATTATGTAATGATGAAAATCATGAAAGATAAACGCACACACAGACAGTGCACAAAATAATTGGCAGACATACAGCATATCTATATAAATGTATGTACATACATATATTCATACATATGTACTGTACGTACATTCATACATACATATGTATATACACACATACATACATATACATACATACACTTATTCATGCATGTAGACATTATATATATATATATATATATATATATATATATATATATATATATATATATATATATATATATATATATATATATATATATATATATATATATATGCTTATACATACATACATGCATATATACATACATACATTCATACATTCATACCTTCTTACATATACATACATATATACATACGTATATGCTCACATGCATGCATGCACACGCACAACATAGGCAGATATCTATAAAATCGATACGAATGTTATAAAAGAAAGTAAACACTCGTACATGCCTCCGCCCTTTAATAAAATTGCATTTGAATTCCTTTTGGTCAGAGCCGATTGAGCGAGAGAAGGCATTCAATACCTCACAAGTGAAATTTATAAATGGCAAAGTATTACAGATATCTTTTACAGGTACTGCACGTTTTAAGAGCCAATATTGCATGATAAATCTTTGGTTTGTGCCATTCCTTTTGGAGATATACGGCAATTGGCGCCTCCACTCGTTGGTTTATTCAATTCTATATTTTATTTTGGGCGTATATGGATCTGCCAGTAGAAGGTTTCGATTCTGTTGGTCTTATTTTTGTGCTGCTATTTTGTTGTTGTTGTTCTTTGTATTGCTAGTATCATTGTTATTATCATTTCTGCCATTATCGTTATCTTTATTATCGTTATTTTCACTATTATTATTACTTTTAGTAGTGGTAGCATTATCAACACTATTATTATCGTTATTATTATTATTATTATTATTGTTAGTGGTGGTGGTGCTAGTGGTGTTGTTTTGTTATTATTACTTTATTATTATTATCATTATTGTTATTGTTACTATCATCAAAATCATTAACATCACCATCATCATTATTATTATTATCATCATTATCATTATCATTATCGTTACTACTATTATTGTTGTTACCGTTATGCCATTACTGAGCCACTGCCTATGCTTACTGACATCTCTGCTCCTCCCACCACACATACTTCCACACACTTAACCCCTTCCCCTTCCCTCCTCATACATATTTACATACTCTCACCTCCCCCCCTCCCCCCCTCCCCATACTTTCCTTCCACCTTCCAACACGCACACCTCCACACCCTCGTTCCCTCCTTCCCCACAATTTCGCATCGAATTCTTTTCATTTGTCTCCATTTAGCGGGCATTATGCCAGTTTAGTTGCAAGATCTATGTGCTGGCTAACCACCTGTGCTGTTTCGGTAATACCTTTTGTACATGTGTTTTGATTTGTTATTGTTTGCTTGCACTTTTAGCTGTGCAATTGAAAATCTATCATTTTTGTTTATTCTCTTTTTGTTAGTATCGTTGTTGCTGATAGGTTATCATCATCATTACTATAATCATCATCATTATCATTATCATTATCATCATTATTACTATCATCATCATCATTATCA